CAATTCTTTAATCTGTCATTGGAATAATGGACCACCCATTAGGAAGAAAAAAGAATGGTTTCTATAAAACCCAGTGAAGTATCTCTATTTGGATGCTGTCCTCAACACGTCTGTTTATCTGTAACGAAGACGGCAAAAAAAAAAGAGGACGTGCCTGCCATGCACACACGGCTTTCCTAATCCCTCCTCGGGGAAGACAGGAGCTATGACTCAGCTTTTTTGATCTGATTTGATTTTGTTTTGTTTTGTTTTGGGAGAATGAGTCAGGGAAGGCTTTCTGGAGGAAGTGACATCTAAGCTAAGTCAAGGATAGAAGGATTAGCAGTAGCCAACCAGAACTGGGGAGTAGGGGTGGGGAAGGCTCCCCAAGAGGGAGCAGCAAGTGCAAAGGCCTGGAAGGGAAAGAACGTTCTGGGACCCAAGAGTCTGTCAGTGACTGGAGCCCGAGTAGGTGCTCACTAACCCGTGGGGGCGGCACTGCAATCTGGAGAGGCGGGGAGCAGCCAGGGCTGAAGGGCTGTGTAACCGAGTGAAATGCGTTAGACTTCTTGGGAGCAGTGGAGAGCATGAGATGGTTTTCAGCAAGAGATCTGATTCAGTTTTCCTTCTAGAAAAATCTCAACAGCAGCAATATGAGAAACAAGGGCTAGTGATTACTTAGGAGGTTGTCACAGCGCCCAGGTGGGAGTTGACGGTGGCCTAGCCTAGGGTATAAAAGTGATGATGAAGAAAGTGAGATCTTTGTTAACAAACATCACCCTGATAAATTCAATATTTTTTTTTTTTTAAAGAACAAAAAGGAAGAGGAGACTGAGATCTGAGGACATCTGGGAGCAGAGTTGACCATGGGTGGCTACCTGGGTGGGAGGGTCAAAGGAGGAGAATGAAGGGACTGAGGGTGAGAACCTGGGGGTCTGGGTTGAGGGGCAGTGACTGCCATTTCCATAGCTGAAGACTGGGGAGGACGTAGATAGGGAGACAATGTAAGGTTTCGTTATGCACACGTTAAGTATGGAATGCCCAAGCGACATTCTAATGAGGGTGTCGTGCAGCAATGGAACTGTGAGGTGACCACAAGACTGGAGGCCTAAACGGGAGGGTCCTCAGCCACTGGATGGTATTTGAAACCACGGTGATGAAGGAGACCACCCTGTGAGCATCCAGCTACGAAAGGTACCATGCTGGGCCCGACTGTCTAGAGCAGCCGTGGGCAAACTACGGCCCGCGGGCCGGATCTGGCCCGTTTGAAATGAATAAAACTAAAAAAAAAAAGACTGTACCCTTTTATGTAATGATGTTTACTTTGAATTTATATTAGTTCACACAAACACTCCATCCATGCTTTTGTTCCGGCCCTCCGGTCCAGATTAAGAACCCATTGTGGCCCTCGAGTCAAAAAGTTTGCCCACCCCTGGTCTAGAGGCAGGAGGAAGAAGAGCAAGGATGAAGACAGGAGAGGCAGGGACGAGGCAACAAGACCATGAGCATGTCACAGAAGGAGAGCGAGGAGAGTGGTCAGCTGTATCAAGTACAGCTAAGAAGCCCCATCACATGAAGACTTGAACATGTCATGTCCATGACCATGACCTTGGCAAGAGCCAATTCAGGGGGGCACCGAAGCCAGACTGAAGTGGGCTAGAGAATGGGAGCGCAGGCAACGGAGAAGTTTGTCTCTGAAGGGAGGCGGAGAAAGGCGGGTAGGAGGGAGGGCGCTGGTGTCCCCCACAGGAGTCAGAGGGTGTCTGTTCTTGTTCCAACATGGGAGCAGTCCTGTGGGCTGATGAGAAGCGACGGTGGGGAGAAAGGGAGACTCAGAAGAGAGTCATTCAGGACTTGAAGTCCTTGAGAAGGTAAAACAGTGGAGACGGGCCTCTGTGAAAGCAGGTTTGTGTCTCCTTAAACCAGGGGAAATGAAGAGCAGAAGGGAACACAAGGGGAGGAGCGGGCTGCGGCGACAGCAGGACCGCACCCTTGGGCACTGGGATGGGGAACAGAAGTCTCTTGGCAAGATGTGGCTTGTCTCCAAGGTCTGAGGCAACTGGCCCAAGAGGTGAGTCGTCTTGGCCTGGAATGGAGACCCCACCCATGCAAATGCCCTGGCTCAAAGCTCACATTGGCAGCCTGGCTCACTTCCTGGTGGAGGCTGCACACAGCGGGAGCTCCACCCAGCCAGAGGCGATCCAAAAGAGCCCGGAGAAAGTTGTTACCAAGGGAATTCTTTAGCAAGACTTCAGGTCTTGTTTCTGCAGAGAGGAGATGAGAAATTGACAAAGGGCCTTAATCCTCCCTTAATCCTGCCCAATGCCAGCCCTGCTCACACGCCTGCCCTGCTCAGTTAGGTGCTTATGCAAAGACAGCACTGACTCAGGTGTCTAAAGAAGACAGGGAAGGAAGAAAGAGGAAGATTCCGTAATGTCAAGGTGTTTCAAGGGGAGAAGCTTCCAGAGTGACTGTCCCATCCTTCCATACTCTGTGCAGGCTGAGGCTCCGGTGGTGCTCCCGGCGTGGCCCCTCGGCCTCAGCTGGGCTCAGCAATGCCTGAATCCTGGCACAGTGCCCCTTGAACTCCACATCGGCAATAAGTATTACAACTTCCATCTTTTAAGAACCAAGGTCAGGAGCTTGAATGCTTCCCAACAACTCTAGAATTGCCTCTTGTGTTGGGTGGACCTTCAGGGGAAAGAGTGGGCTGAGCTAACATTAGATTCAGGGTGGTATAGTGGTTACACGAATCTTGCTAGCTGTCGATCTTAGTGAAGGACCTACCTCCTAGGATTGTTATGAGGTTGAAATGAGTTCATGCTCAAAAGTACACAGAATGCACCACCACTGTGCTGTATACTATTCGGTTATTGTTATTTGGGGTCACCTCTCCACCTCTCCATCTCCATCAGCACCCCCATATCAAGCCACCCACATACGCATAAAAAGAAAGTGCTTTCTAAGACAACACTGCTTTATGATAATTGCCTACATTCCCTGTGGCTCACCACTCCTATCCCCTCCTGCTCTTACCCATAGAATTTCAGGAACTATCAGTCTGGTTTTTGTTTTTGCTGTTATCATTATACTAGAGGCCCAGTGCACAAAAATTTGTGCACTCGGGGGGGGGGGGAGGAGGTCTCTCAGCCTGGCCTGTGCCCTCTCACAGTCTGGGACCGCTCGGGAGATAATGACCTGCTGGCTTAGGCCTGCTCCTGGGTGGCAGAGGGCAGGCCCAATCTCTAGGT